TTTTGTTGTCACAAAATTGTCTTTTAAAGAAATTTGCAGTCTTGAGTAAACTACGTTGATAAGATATTATTACAGTTAACAGTGAAGTAAGCGTTTTAACGAAAAAATTTTATATATTGGGAGCCGAAAGGTAATTTGAATTTTAGTAATTGTCGGTATTGGAAAATCTCACCTATTGGGAACCAACAAATCATAATCAATGTCTCGACAATTACGAAGGTAATTATTTGTCAAAACTGGAAAATCTCATTTATTGAGAACCGAAAGGTCATAATCAAAGCTTTGACCAATACAAAATTTTTTAATAAAAAAATCATATTTATTGAGGGCCAAAAAGTATTTTATATTAATTAATTGTCAAAACTGGAAAATCTCGTATGCTGGGAACTGAAAGGTTTTAATCAAAGTTTAGACAAATATAAAATTTATTGAATAAAAGTCTCATTTATTAAAAATCAAAAGGTAAATTTTATTGCGAGAAATTTAAGCCGAGAGAGTTTTTGTCTTCTCTACGGCATTCTATGAAATACGTTGAATATTTCGTCAATTTGAAATTCTTTTATAAATAATAATTCGACGTATATTTACTTTAAGCAGTCAAGAAGAGTGAGCAAAGACTTTTCCATAATTTCTGGTACTGTGCTTTCGCTACGCACTACTTGTAAACGAACGACGCAAATTAAACAGGCAATGAACTAAGGGGAGAAAAAAGTAAGCCGACCAAATCTAAAAGAGTCTTACGCTTCTGTTTTTGCTAACGAATATTCCATTTGAAGAATAGAAAAAATTTAGTTGAAACACTATTTCCTCGTTTTGGTAAATAGGCAAAAACGTCGAGGACAAACCAACAAAAAGTTAGAATAATATTACCTAATCTGGTTAAACCGGACTCAGCTAAATAAGGAAACAGAAGTTAGAGGAGATAATATTTTCGTAATATTGTAAGAAAAGAAGCTATTATTAAACTTGTGTATTAACCTTGGAAAATTCCGACAACCAACGGCGTAATAACTCTGTTTAAAATTTATAGGGAATTTAAAAATCACTTTGTCAAATATAAATATTAAATATTTAGTATTTCTCTCGTCCAAAAATTACAATTTTCAATGATGAAATTTAACAGGGAACTTGGACATGAAAGAAGTAGAACTAAGTTTGATTTAGTTGGACGTTTCGTCCCTTTATTGGGA